ACGCAGATCTAATCTCGTGCCTGGACCTGTATAATTGTGCCCTGGGAGATGTTTTTCTACGGGATATTTTGCCCATGGAAATCCAGGAAGAGAACCCAATGACTTTTGAATGTCTCCCGCACCGAAATACGTTTTAGGAGGATGGACATTTATTAAAGACATATTTGTTCAATAAACACCATATATTTTTAATACGAAAGATTTAATACAAGGAGGAAATTTGTTGTTTGAGACAAAGTTGGCCACTTTGGGGATGAGAGATGTTAGCGCAGAGAAGAAACCGTCTCCTTCGAATTTTTTTTTTCGTGTTTTAAAATTAAAGACATTTTTAATGCGGTTATTTTATACTGTATTATTATTAGTGATTCTTGTCTGTGGTTTTGGGTAATTTATAATACAGTTTGGAGGAATCTGTTATGATATATTTTTTTAACAGTTTGGGAAGTCTGTTATAATACATTTTTTAACAGTTTGGGGAAGTCTGTTATAATACATTTTATATTTATCACGACCCTTCAATGAACATGACTGATGACTGGTGTAAATACGAAAAATTAAACAGATTTCTTTATTTGCACAAAATTGCATATATATTAATAAAGCAGAGATATGATAAAAATGATTGGAAAGCCCTAAAGTTCAGAATAGATAATATGACTGGTAAATAGTGGATAAGAATTATACGTAATGAATATTGAATAGCAAATAATACTGTCCCATAAGATTCATATTAAATTCCAAAAGATTCATATTGATCATATTCTGTAAGACGGCTTTAATACTACTCCTTCTTTCCTCATTTCTTCGATATATTGGAATGGATTCATAAACTGAAACATAAACATAACATTTTACATTTTTGAACCACGCTGTCCTGCGTTCACATTTCGCTTTTTCACAATTATAACCCGATTCTGCCAGTAGAAAATCATCAAATATTTTGCTAATTGAGGGCAGTTAAAGATTTCTTCTTGCTTCTTTGCCATTGCTTCGAAACCATTTTGACAGAAAAAAGTAAAATGCTTTGAACCAATTTACTTCTCTCGAACGATAAACATCAATTTAGTCACATAAAACATTCAGTCTGTCGACCCTTTTTAACTTCGTGAAACTTCATTTTTATCTTTCTACAGATGAAGAGTTAACCATTCTGCCATACAAGTCAATGATAAATTCGTCCCCACACCATATCGATTACCAGTTGCGAATGGTTGCGAATAATGAAAGTGGCAGCACAACTCACAAGTCAGTTGTATGAGAGTTTCGTTTACAACTCACAAGTCAGTTGTATGAGAGTTTCGTTATAACCACTATTCTTATTCGCAACCATATGGTGAAAACTATTGTGCGAGGGCCTCTTCAACAAGTTTATGCAGTTGATTATCAAAGTAATTTGATTTGGAAACTATAAATAGTTCAGATTACCTTGTGTTCTATTAGGTTACATGGTTTAAATGTAAAACTATCTTTGAATCTAGTGTTGGATAATATTGTAACCAAACCGGCATCAACCACGATCGATTCACCTTTCTGAAACAGAAAATCTGATGATCTTACTTTAGTATTATTATTTAACAGAGGGTATATACAAATACAGAAATTATTTTGCTCTGATAAGGAATCTTTTTAAGTAGATCAGTTCCTCCTCTACCAACTCTCGATCTTTTTATTTCTTGGAAATTGTCTTTCATTAAAATTATTTTTCCTGTAAAATACCAATCGGAAGCATCGGATTTTTTGTCCATATTTGAAAAGATATTGTGAAAAGTTTTGGCATTGAAACCGAGGAGTGACATGTATTGTCTGTGATTCCCTTCCTCGACTATCTCTCCATCTATTTTAATTTGTCCTTTGAATAAAGTCTTTGAATGGCATT